AAGAGCTCATTTTCAAGAAACCCCTATTTTCAGTCCCATCCTGTCCTCTGCCTTTTCTCACTGAATTATTACATGCTCCCCCTGGGATATAGGCATCTTCCCAGTTTATGTACTAAGTAGTCCTCAGTCCTTTCAGGATCATTCATCCTTTTGAGAGTCACATTTTCATTATGGACTCTAAGAAAAACATACATGCTTTCTCATGATTTCAGAGAGAGAGAGAACTTACGGTCCTGGACAACAGTGTAGTGATTGGGGGGTGAGTAGAGGTGGAAGAGGACAGAGAGGGGATAAATGGTGATGGGAAAAATAATAGTGCTTGATTAAATATGTAATAACTCCTTTAGATAATCATTCAACAATACCATAATTCAGTGAAGGAGAGATGTCAAACAGTTCTCTTTCATCTTCTTTCCTGCCTCATTCTCCATTTTTTTTTTTTTTTTTTGCCTTTTCTCTTTCACCCCTCCCCCTCTTCCCCATTCACTTCTCTTCACTGTTTCTTCCTCCACTCCCAGCCTACCCCCTAAAAAACACAGAAATCCAGAATTAGATTTTCTTAAGTAAAGGTGCTCCACCTGCTGGTTCTTTAAAGACTTTCACATTTAAACACAATTTGAGAAACTTGAGACACTACTTATGTTAGTGGAAATAATTTTATTACCTAAATTTTAGTACCAAAGAAGACCTTACTAATTTAGAGATTGGGCTCATTTCTAAAAGTCTGAATTTAATGCCTGATTTATCGAACATATTATATGTAACATGTGTTATTTCAATATCTCCTATATATATAGAAGCATAGCTACTGTAATGTTTCAACCCTTATTATAATCACTCCCAATTTGTCCCTTTTAATTTCCTTTGTTTCTATTCCATTAATTCAATGAGCTGCTTCTTGGCCTCCTTCCCTCACACCTTTCCCAAGCTCATTTCTCTGGCCCCACTTCACTCTTCGACTCTCCTTTATTAATCTACTTCTTCAATAGCATCCTTACACAAATCAGTGGTAAATATTTGTTTCCAGACTTAACTTCTCTCGTGAGCCTCAGACTCACATCTCTGAATACTGGCATAGGCAGCTTGCAGGCATATAAAACTGCTCTCCTCTTTTTGTGAAGGGCCATTAACCTGTTCCAATCATCTATTGCTGTTTAGCAAGCTGACACCAGCTTAGTGTCATAGAACAGCAACCATTTTATTGTGTTCACAGATTCTGTGAGCTGGGATTCTGATTTGGCACAGCAGGGGTGGCATGGTCTCCCCTCCACATGTTGGAGTGTCAGGGAGAAGGCTTGCTGCTCTGAGGAAGACCCCATATCTCCCTCACATTACTGAAAGAGTGGGGGAGAGGAGGTGAAGATGAAAAGTGGGTCCTTATTGCTTTCTAGAAATATTCACATTATTCATGGTGAATAGTATATAAGAGCCTCAGGCTGCCTCACCAAATCAGACAATGGGAACCACTTTGACCAGATTGGATCATAAATCGCTATGAAGACTTCTGTTTATAAATGCATTATTCACTTGCTGTTAATAGAGGCATTCAACCGGTACAATTTTATTTGTGAACTTTGATAGCTCCCCAACCATTTCATAAGTAAATGAGTCCGTGACAGTCGATGTTGCAACTGTAAATGACTACAAAGCCAAATGACTGTATTTGTGCCAACTCACTGACTCATTAAACTCACTGAAACCATGATGCATTAGATCATGCCAAGTTTTATGTTCAAACGAGTGTTAATGAATGGGAATTAATAGGTGAAGGATTCTTTAAAATACTGATGGATGAGTTAACTTTTAGAATCAAAACAAAGAAGCTTGATTGGAAGATGGAATGCAGTTCAATGATCTTGCTCTGCTAGTCTAGGCTAGTGTGTATGTGGTATTAAACCACCCATAGAAACAGGTCTGTGAGGTTTTATATTGTACGACCAAAGCCTTGGTTTCAGGTAACAATACTAAATTCAGAATTGATTCCAGACATTTGTAAACAATCACACTTCACTAACTTAATTGTGACAATTTAGGTTTATCACGAAATTGAAATCTTCCACGTTTCTTTGGGAAGGACCACATTTTTAAATGTGGGGTTTCAAATACATAATTAATACTTGTGGCAGGGATAATACAATAGCAGTGGCAGTGAACAGCAGAAGGAAATCAAGAAGCATTTCAAAGGCAGACTCAACGGGATTTTATTAGGACAACGAGGGAGGGAAAGAGGCAGTGGCTTCTGTGGTTTTGGGTGTGAAAGGCTGTGTTGGTTTCCAAGATGACCACATACTCCTTGGCACTCCTGCCAGTGAGTTAAATAAGGCCTATTCTCCTCCCTTGAATGTGGAGCTGGCCTAGTGACTCACTTAACTAATGGAATGTATAGAGTGACACTACTTGACCTTTGGGGCTGGGTCAGAAGGCAGCCATGCTACCTCACCTGGTGAAATTGGAGTCTAAGCTGAGCCTCGCCTTCGAGTGGTCTAGCTCAGGGACTGCTGTGTGATTAAAAAACCTGCAGGTGATTGCAGCCTTGAATATAACAGCAAAAGACACATGGAAGGACAAGTACTCACAAAAACACACATTTCTTGGCCTTCTAACCTGGTGCTCCTTAGCACGCAGTTTTCTAATTCAAACGCTGAGTTCAATAGGTGGGAAGGCGGAGTATACTGATAGAGAGTAGTGATTAGAAATTTGTTCCAAAGCAGATACATCCTCCCCCTGAATTTCCATCCTTCTGACCACTAACGGACACATGAAAGAGCAGCACTCAGGTATGCAGGCCATTTGGGAGTACACCCTGGGCCTCTGGCAGATTCAGAATAGACATGAATACAGATTTGAAAGAGAAATTTTCTTTGAGTAACAGCAGAATGATCTTTTCTCCAACAGTTATTCAATTATGTTTCCCCCCCATCTCACCTGTAAGAGAAATACATCAAAGGGTACGGAAAACTGATGTGCAAATAAACTTTTGAAATTTTACCTTAGTCCAATGCCCAGACCCCAAGAAGTCCTAAACATAACTAAATATGCTAGCAGATTTTGTAAAAGGTAAACTGAGGTTTATTTGAACATGCCTATATTAGTGTTTTTTTTTTTTAATTTATCAGCATTGTTGAAGTATAAATTATATACACAATAAAATTCTATGATTTTCAGTGCGAAGTTCAGTAAGTTTTGATATGTATACAATTTGGTAACCAGTGTCACAATCAATATATGGAACATTTCCATCACCTCAAAATATTCATTTGTTCCCTTTCACAATCTATTTCCCAGCTCTATTCCCAGACCCACCCCCTAGAAACCACTGATCTGCTTTCTGTTGTTAGAATTTTTACTTTTCTAGTGATGGAGAGTTAACAACCACTGAATTGTAACACATGTGGAGATTAAGAAAATTTCAATGTAGTAATACAGTGAGTGCTCTTTGTGTCTGGCTTCTTTCACTTGGCACTATGCTTTTTAAATATTCATCCATGTTGTTGCATTTATCAAGCCATGCCTTCTCATTACTAAGTAGTATTTTAATATATGGCTATAACATACTTTATCCACTCACCTGCTGAAGGGCATCTGTAATATTTCTGTTCCTGACGATTGTGATTAGGGCTGCCATGAGAATTTGAGTGCAAAAGTTATATTTAGGGAGGTTCAAATATTCAGGTGAGGAATTATGGTGTTAGAACTAAGAAATATTTCGTCTTCCCTGTGTACATTATCCTGAATAAAAGTTAAAATACAGACACTTGTAAGCCATATTCCATAATAAATTTAATCAGCAGATCTGTTGTAAGACAATTAAAGAATTCATACATTTTCCAGCCCTAAAGAGTCACACACAGTCCCATACATTCAACATGTTCCAAGATAATGCTTAATAGTATGTAGGAAGATAATATTCCTTACAAACTTCAATATATTATGAATTAAAAACACACATTCATATTATTATGTGATCGAAGAAGCCATTTTAAGAATTTTGTGAATTTCTCTTAAAAGCAAATATGAGTTACATACAGAATCTCTTATTTAAAGAGACAATTTCAACTAGTCCATCTTACAAGAAAAAATATTTATAAAATGCCTACATGCTTTTCACAGTCATAACATTTATGTTTACTTTAATTAAAGAAGGAAAATGTTCTCATTCAGTGAGAAACATTTCCTTTAGTCATAACATCCCCAGGCTTTTCTTTTTCTTTTTTTTTTTTTTTAATTTCCATATAGAACTGTCTGGAATAGAAAATTCTAAATATCATAATCTATGGTTATAAACTTTCACATTCAAAAGTGCAGATAACAAATTCCAGTTCTACAAAAATAAAAGTTACAAATGAGATGTCCCTTTTTGAAATAACATTAATGGAGAGTTAACAACCACAGGTAATCACTGAATTGTAACACATGTAGAGATTAAGAAAACTTCAAGTGTTCCTAAATATCTATCATTATATAAAAATGAGCATTTTACAACATTATGATTTCTACAGCAAGATACAGACATACAAATATTATGACTAAAAAAACTTCAGTAACAACAAACCAAAATTTTTACCTTCATTTCAGGTTGCTTTAAAAAATTACTGGTAAGCTCAATGTCACTGAATTAATGAAAACAAATTTATCCCACATATTTTTGTGGCAGAAACTAAAATTTTTAAGAAATAAAAATAACATGAGAAGTTCTCCTGATACAAACTATAATATTTAGATTCCCTTAACTCAATACAAGAAGCCCAATGTCATATTTTGTAAACTAGTCATATGAAATGATTCTCAAAGTATAAATTAGGTTTATGTCAACCAATGGACTTGTGGTCACTTCCTCACCAGTCGCTGACAGCATCCAATGGAAACCTATGGTGCCAGGAAGGCAGGCTCCAGAATGAAGGACACAGGTGACTACCTGCCACAGGGTGGCAGCGGTGCCGGCCAGTGGAATGGGAGCACATGTTCTGTGTCCCCAACCCCCAGGACGGCTGCTTTGTCTGTCAATGCACCCAATCCCTTGGATGGCGAAGAACTTCCAGAATTTCTGCTTCTTTGGAGTTCGCTGAGGGTGAATGCATGTACTCCCATCTACACCCAAAACAGAAGCAGAAAATGTAAAAATAAAAATAATAAACATAGATACCTCTTTACTTAAGATAAATGAAAAATAAAGTTCTAAAGGAGTAAAAAATGTTTCATACCTCCTTGTCTCCACTGTGCCTAATATGTCTTTCACCCACCAGGCTTTTCAAAAATACTTGCTAAAGAAATAAAGTTTCTTAATTACTGAGCACACTTTGGCTAATACCCAGAAGCAAAATACATTTCTATAACTTAGGGTTTTGTAAAGTTCTAACCTTAAATGACCCATGGGCAAACTATTTTTAGCTTCACACTTACACATTTATTTTGTGTTACTTTCTATTTATGGCAACAATATTGGTATGCCTTTTTAAATAGATTCTCTCTCAGAAAAAAACATGAGTATAAAATTAAAGTAAATAATACATCAGATAATATAAAGGGCCACATAATAAATACTTTAGGCTTTGTGGGGCCATACACAGTCTCTTTCATATTTTTTTTTTTTTTTTGCTCTTAATAAATCCCTTTAAAAATGTAAAATCCTTTCTTAGCTCAAGGTCTGTACAAAAGCACACCTTTCAGTGGACTTGGATTTATCCTGCAGGCTTAAGTTTACAGACCCCCAGTATAGATTATAAGAAGCTAAAAGTGACCTGTTGTGTTAATGCTACTCAACTGAGCAAGGCAGTGATTTCTAATCCGCCCACATCTGCTTGGAATGTGCATTATACTTAGGGGCGAGGTGATCAGGCTGATCAGCAGAGGCCTGGTGGTCATGTTTACTTTTCACTCATTTCTCATCTCTCAAGTGCCCGGAATACCTAACAGTGATGTGCATGATCTTCTAACCGAGGACAGAAGATCCCTAAACAATAGTCAGACCAAGATAGAGCCAATGCCACTGTGAAGGCATGAGAACCACAGAGGGTACTGCTCTCACAAGGCTAGATCAGAACAGCAGAACGAGGCAAGGCAGACTGTCAATGGCATCGCATAGTTCATTCTCATTTAGACATTTAAATTCATGGAGAAAAAGGGTTCTAACTCTTGTAAAACAAACAATGGTAATCTTGTTTTCTTTCTGATCTTTTCTATTTGTCTCGACACACATCATTCTCATTTTTTTAAAAGCAACAAAGTCAGTTATAGATTTTTATTAACCTAATAGCACCAATGTAAACATATCCGTCTGTAAAATTTCCCACACAGATTCAATTAACCTCTAGGAAGCTAGCTCACCACAGCAGCATGGAAAACCAGAGAGAATGCTGTGCACATCATACTGTCAAACAAGCTTAATGCTCCCTATGGGAGAGTAAGACATTTCCTCACGCATGCAATAATTTATAATAAAATTAAGTTTAAAAATTGCTATGTTCTTCCTAGAATACTACCCAGGCAAGGATAATCCGGCCCTTAGACAGCATCACCCCTGTCCTTCTGCTCTCACACACAAAGCTGTATCATTTACCCTGATATCTCTTAAAATATCCAATTTGATTTTCCTTAATGATTTGACTCTGATTTTTTAATAAAAGTAGCAAAGTCAAAACCAGTGAAGTCTCTGGGTAAGACACTTGTGATGTTAACATTTATGTTTGGTGGGGGCTGAGGGCTCGGGGTTGGGGGATAATTATTGTGACGAGTTATTCTTACCGAGCAGTCAGAGGTAAAGACATCAAGATGCTTTCGATCCTGGATCCCGGAGTGAAGAGGCCAAACTTTGTACCCCGATCGTAGAGCAGGTTAAATTCCACATACCTGACACATGGACAGCAAACAGACAACATTAAAGGTCAGCTAAGTAAAATCTTCCTTAGCCCATAATGAATACTTAAAGGGGGGACTTTGTCCTGCCCACTCTCCCCATCAGCTGGAACTGACACAGACTACAGTCCGTTGAGTTTTCTCCATCTGGACAGGCATGAATAAAAGGGTATTCTACCCAATAAACAATAGGACATAGATTCAGCCCCAACACAGAGCAGTTATAAAATAAGGAGGTTGTTTTCTAATGAATAAAAAGAATGAACACAAGGCTGAGAACCTGAAGGCACAACCACCGTGAAAAAGAAATGGCGTGACTCCCTCTGGGCCTCCCCCCAGTCTGAGACAGTTCCGAGCCACAGACTTCATTTCACTGCCTAGACCTCACATGTACTAACACAGGGCAGCAAACCCGTAATTAAAAGGCCAAATGCAGGTGACCGCAATCTGTTAACATCTACTAATATATTCTAGGTATTCCCTTTTATTGAAGTAGTTAATAGCATTAACAAGCAGTGACATAAATCAGCCTTCCTGCAGATTCATGGCAATCATAATAAAAAGCAGTAGTTGAGTTGCAGTGCTCAATTTTATTTGCTTAGAAAAATATCCTTAGCATCAATGAAAACTTGGTTCAGTACATTAATTTTCCATTAGCGGCCAGACAAAGTAAAGTCTGTCTAGCTTAAAATTATAATTGCCTTTAACATCATGGGGTCTTTTGTAAAAGGGTCTTTTCTCCCCAATTAAAAAAAAAAATAAGTTCTACTACCCAAGATAATTTAGAATGATCCATAAATCCAAAAGTGTCAATAAATAGTACCCCTTTCAGATCATTTCTCAACTTGTCAGAAACTACTCTTAGTCTAAACTTCCTCAAATATTCTTTTTTATTCTCTTTGTTAATCATACATATAAGAAAGTATCTTCTAGAATCCTGGAGTAGTTCAATTTTTAGAAAGTGCTCTTGTGTGTGGAAACTTGCCAAAGGTTCTGAGAAAGTTAAAATAAATTATACCTGTCTCTCACAGCCCTTTTCCACTCCCGCCTGATAGGACCTTTTTGAAACTTTATTTAAGGAATGACTATGGGTCTCTAATTGGTATTGATGTTTTTGTCAAAGACCCTTGTAAGGAGCTCCCTAAATGAGCTTTTTGGAGGATCCCCTGCTGCTTCCTTTTTTTAGTTAATGATGTCCCTTTCTTTCCCTACATTAGCCTCTCTGGCTCCCATCAGGCTCTGCTTAGATCTGTTCTTTCTGATTCTCTCTGTACATTACTCCTCTCTAAGGTACCTGGGAACTATGGACTTGAACCATTCCCTTCTGATACCTAATTTTTATTATCTAACTGATGCCTAATTTTTATCTTCCCTTTCTCAAAATACAACAAAACAACATTAAGTTAAAGATGTTTAGTTTCTGTTCTCCTATGGGGGGGAAAAAAGACTCTAAGACTTGAAGTTCAAGGTCTGATGAGAGAATAGTAGTAACTGAGGACAAGAGACTAAATGAGTTTGCAAATAAGACTGTACAGTCAAAAGGAAAGCTCTCACTGCAGGGGAAACTCAGTTTGGGCGGAGGTGGGGAAGGGTGACGCTGAAGGAGACAGATAGGACTGTAATACATTGTAAGCGAATGAAGACGGTGCTGATAACTGCAGAAGAGCTGGGTTATCTTCCCCCAGAGCTCACTGCCATCTGAAGCCCAGAGATAAGCGTGGTAGGAGGAGGCTCTCCTTGAAGAAGAGTGGCCCACCACACCTTAGAAAATTAACTAACACCTCACACTTGTAACCCAAAACACAAGTGTTTGCATATCAAATCTTATGAAAAACTAGACCACTGTGCTTTCCACAGTGTTTTGTTTTTCTTTTAAAATTATCCTCTTAGGTGTACCTTCCCCCCTGAACTATGAGCTTGTTTTTACAGGTCCATGCTATGCTCACCTTTCCAGTCAGCACAGAGACTAGCCACAGAGGCACATAAGTGTCAAGCGAAAAAAGAAAGAAGTAAAGGTGTATTTGAAAAACCATAGGAACAACAAAAACATGTCCCAAAACAGATGCATTGTGTAAGCAATTTCTAAGAAGAAAAGTTAATCAACCCTCATTTTCCCATGTTTATAGAGATCAGATAGCACAGGTGGTCTTAAAGGGCACGCAAACATTTATCTTTAGACCTGGAATGCTACGTAAATTGATCTTTTCTTGGCACTAGTCTTACCTCCTTAAGTGCCCAAAACTTCCTATGCTTGATACAGAATGAACACAAGTGAGAAAATCCATTTTACAGCCAGGGACCAGTGGTACACATGCAATTAAGATGGCAATGAGGAACTCCTGTGAGCCGGAAGTGGCGACTTTGGAGCTGATTCACAAGTATGCCCCAGCGGAAGATAATCTCAGGATGATCACCCAATGCGCTCACAAGCTCAATGCACAGAGCAGGGTGCTAAGATGAATATCATGGTAAGAAAAACAGACCCGCTTTAACCACTTCCTTCATGAATGGGAAAGGCTGCAAGTTTTGAACTCATGATAACCTGGTTCCACATCTGGGATCTTTATTTACCATCTGTGTAATCTTGGGCAAGGAACTTGCCTTTCTGAGAATTAGTTTTATCACCTTTAAAATGATAATGATTACACCAAAATCACAAGTCTGTGGAGAAAAATAGATGCAAACTGCCTCATATATGGGTTGGCACATAGTAAGGACTCCATAATTAGTAAATTAAATGTAAATGACTTCTAAAATGATTATTTTCATTAAAACAACCTCCATGAAACCTTAATAATGAATGAAATAAGGAGTGATTCCAAATTTACAAAGCAGCAAAAACATTAAATGGTACCCATTATCTTGGCATAAGGCTGGAGGGTACTGCTTGAAAACTAAGTAAAAGAAATAGGCTGAATTAAATTCACCAAGTACTTACTACATGCCTACTATGAATCTCTGATGTAGACAAATGAAATACACTTTGCTCTTTCTAAAATACTATGTTACATAATGTTCTTTTATTCATTTATTATTCATCTGGTTATGAAAAGAAATTAGGGAGAGTACTAATACAACTCTGAAAAAGCATCTGCCCAGAAAAGCACACCACCCACTCTCTCCCTTCTCCCCAGTTATACAATGAGCCGGTGTATTCTCCTTCCATTCACTCACCGTCCCCTCCTGAGCTGCTGCCACAGCTTCTCCTGAGGGGTGAATGAGTCATCGCGGTGCTTTTTCACAAGGGGGATATAAGCAGGAACGACAGCCTGGGCACAGCTCTGCACAAACTGAAACACCTCCTCCTTGGATGGAGAGTCAAGGTCATCAAAAAAAATACCCCCGATGCCCCTGCGCTCCCCACGATGGACTATGTAGAAGTAGTCGTCACACCTGGAAAACAGAGCAAGGCCAAATCGGGGGTCAGAGGGAAACAACAAAGGCATGCAAGTCCATGTGAGTGTTTCCACTCAGCGCCATCCTTGACTAAAGCCAGCAGGGTCCTCACTCTTTGTCCAACTATGAAAATGAACTTTCGAGGGATCTCCTGAGTTAGCACCAATGCAGAATATGCTTTTACTTTTATCTGCAAAGCAAGCAGGCAATTTAATACATGTCGATCTAAAGCATATGGACCCTTAAGACCTTCAGTGAAAGAGAAACAAACAGCCCAGTTTAATACTGTTTATCTTGAAACGAGTGCTGTTGCTGCCCTCAGAAGAACTTATGCTGAGATTCCATTTCATACCTACCAAACATCCTGGGTCTCCTCACAACTCTTGTTTGTTTTTTCTTAAGAGTTTCATTCACAAAGTGTCCAATTCCACCTTTCTCCTTGCCGCAAATCTCTCATTTCCATCTGTCCTAATAGTTTTCCAGTCCTTCCCACGCCCTTATATACCAGTATTCCCATGGGGATAGAGACAATTCTCACCTGGGACAAAAATTTAATTTCCACCAGAGGATTAAAAAGCCTTGGACTTGTAGGCATAAATCACCTTAAAGTATATATTCTAAATCATTTGGAATCAAAGAATATGCTGCTACCCAATTTTTACTGCAGACATTCAAATATTCCTAAGTCAATAACTTAAGAAAACCACTTAAAACCGGTATCCCAATTCTAGTGGGCAATGATAGCTCAACCTTCATCACCTAAAAAAAGGTATTTAGTGAGGAATAAAATATACGTTAGGTATCATGACCTACCATTTTTTAAATTTAGGGTAGAGATCTGGGCCATGCCGGTCACAAGCCTCCTTTAGAGTTCTGTGAAAATGGACGGCATCCTCCTGGTTCAAGTACGTGGGAGTAAGGTCAGTTCCCCCACCAAACCACCAATGCTTGTTACCTACCAAATCAAGACATGTAAACGTGACTTTGACTCTGGACTTTGAGATGTATCACATTGCTCACTGTATTAGCAAACTTAACTTATCAGCTTATTTTATTAAGCATGAAACAGGGGACAATCAAAAACACTGAACTGGTGGGCCCCTGGCCAGGTAACTCAGCTGATTAATGTCATCTCGATATACCAAGATTGTGGGTTCAATCCCCAGTCAGAGAACATATATGAATCAATCAATGGATGCATAAATATATGGAACAACAAATGAATATCTCTCCACTCTCCCCTTCCCCCACCCCACCCCTCTCTCTCTCAAAAAAAAAAAAAAAACAACTGAAATTAGCTCTAAATGGCCTGTAAGGCCTGGGCAGGAAAGAAGAACTAAGAAACTAAAAAGTGAGAGTAGAATCAGCAAGGGAAATGATCAAACACCACCCAGCTGGACCAGGCAGTGGATTTTAACTCTGGCTGCATATTAAAATCACATGAGAAGTTTAAAATGCCTCTGTTGATCACAATTTTAAAAAATAAAAATAAAAGCAAATATCTGGCCTAGGCATCTATAGCTTATTTAAAAAAACAAATAAAAAAATAAAAAATAAAATAAAAACCAGGAGATTCTTATGCTGCCTGTATTAAGTACCATCTTCCCTTCCCCCCAGAAAGAATAAAAACACTTGCCGAGAGAGAATAACTATTTCATGTGCTTAGTTAGGTCTATAGGTTGTCAGTACCAGTTGCCAATTTTTTAAACATAAGCAACTTCAAAATGAAAAGTTAAAAACATTGACTTTAAATGCCGTCACCTACAGAGACATCAAGAGGAGTAGAGTGGCACTGCACAAGCGCCCGGACAGGTGTAAGAGCTGGCTCAGCCAACGGGAGCCCGAGCTGGAATTACACGTGCATAATGAGGCAGGATCAAGTGCATCCCATCCTACAATGCACTGGTGCTAGCAAAGCTATGCATGGGAAAGGTATTTTCCAAAAGCAAGTCCTCAATTTCAACTTAATCTTGCACACGAGGTTTTCCTTTAGGTGGATTTATATTTGCAAAGAGCCCTGTGTGCACTCTAAGTTCAGGTTCATTCAATCAAAAACACTCCTTCTTTGTAGGAGGAAATATGGAGCAATCAGAGTTGAGCCAATCCCATTTTCATGACCAGTGCATAATCCATTGCACCTGCTAAGGAATGAGCCATCATATACCTACTGAGAAATCTAGTTAAAATCGTATTTATTCTCTCTCGCTGTTAATGTTATGTTCTCTAACCTGCTTTAAAATACACATTTGGCACACTAGTACTTTCCACAGCTCCAGACACACATACCATCGGCTTCTTCTACTTCAAAGTATCTGTAGTTGAAGTGGATGGTAGGAGCATGAGGATTCTTGGGGTGGATAACGGAGCTCACACCCATAGCAGAAAACGACAATTTACCTGGAAAATAAAACACACGGTGAGCTGCTCTCCATCACTTGGCTTGATACAAAGTACCTACAATATGGTTTTTGGATCAATTTCCAAAAGCTGCTTTTTAATATGTTTCTTAAAATTTAATTAGGGGGGGAAAAAAAGTAACTGTGAACATGCTTATGGGACATATGCACCCAAATGGTTTTTTACAGAAGCAATATTTATTTTACAAATAAAACTTGTGGGGAAGAACAGTTTGCAGCAACTACTAAAGGCAAATGGGACTGGCTTACCATCTTTAGTCTTCAGATTTTTCCCTCTATTTCTCATTTGCTTCACTGCTTCCTCAGAAAGATGTCCATGAACGACAGAAATGCTCACCCCTGCCTTCTCAAAAACATGCCCATCTTGAAGTACGCAGCTGATGCCCCCACCTCCTGTTTATAGAAATATAAAATGAGCAAAGAATGAAAAATAGAAAATAAAGTGCGAAACTGAAAATAACCCTTGCATGAGGTGATGAGATTAGGAGTTATTCTCCTCCTCCATTTTCTTTTCTTTTCTTTCTTTCTTTTTTTTTCTTTTTTTTTTTAAAAATATTTTATTGATTTTTTTACAGAGAGGAAAAGAGAGGGATAGAGAGTTAGAACATCGATCAGAGAGAATCATCGACCAGTTGCCTCCTGTACACCCCCTACTGGGGATGTGCCCGCAACCAATGTACATGCCCCACTACCGGAATCAAACCTGGGACCCTTCAGTCCGCAGACCGATGCTCTATTCACTGAGCCAAACCGGTTTTGGCTCCTCCTCCATTTTCAATATCTGTATATTTATAATTTTCAGGTGCAATAAAATTAGGTAATTAGCTTAACTTTATGACATTTGCTACTGAGAGTAGGCAAATATTATCTCCTCAAAACACAGTACTAAACATGTCTTCTACATTTTTACGCCATCATCTAAAATAAATCACTAGGCACTGGCCAGTTTGCTTAGTGGTTAGAGCTTTGAGCCATGGACTGAAGGGTCTCTGGTTGGATTCCAGTCAAGGGCATTTAGCTCGGTTGCAGGCTCCATCACTGACTTAGGGGGCACATGGGGCAGGCAACCAATCGATGTGTCTCTCTCACATCCATGTTTCTCTCTCTGTGTCTCTCCCACTCACTTCCACTTTCAAAAAAAATCAATGGGAAAAATATACTTGAGTGAGGATTAACAAAAAAACAAATAAAAATGAAATAAATCACCGGAACATTTTCCTTTCAAATACTACTGCTTTGGTTATGATATAAGGGAGAAAACTAAGGTTCAAAATAGGAATGGATATTTGAAAACTTTTATTATCACAAATTTAAGAACTCCATATTGTTTCAATTGTTTTTTTTCTTAGTGTTTGCCTTTTCATTTAGTTTACAGGCAACTAAAAAACAGTAGATAGTCGATCACTTAGGACCGTGGTCGGCAAACTGCGGCTCGTGAGCCACATGTGACTCTTTGGCCCCTCAAGTGTGGCTCTTCCAAAAATACCAGGGCCTGGGCTGGTCTATTTTGAAGAAGTGGCGTTAGAAGAAGTTTAAGTTTAAAAAATGTGGTTCTTAAAAGAAACTTCAATCGTTGTATTGTTGATATTTGGCTCTGTTGACTAATGAGTTTGCCGACCACTGATTAGGGGATTTGGAACTCTAAACTGAGTGAGACCCAGTACATTTAGGTATATGAGCTTTACTATTAGTGGCCGGTCTGTTTGTTTTTCAAGGCACTAGAGTTACTACAAGAGTAGCTGTCATAAAGACTCATGTATAGCTTGTCTTATTTCTAAGACTTCTTTGAGCTGGATAGGACATAAGATGATCCAGTACAACTGTATATTCCAAATGGGAAAACTGAGGCACAGAAAGGTCAAACACCTTCTCCAAGCACACATTTGTCTCCTGCTTTCTCTATGCATCACACAATATTTTAAGCACTTACATATATTTAACTCATTTAATTCTTACAATACCCTCATATATGATTTCAGGTGAGGAAACAGAGGCAAAAAAAAAAAAAGTTATCTTCAGAAAGTCACACAGCTAGTAATTGAGGTTTTGTGTCCTTGTTCAATGGCCTTCGCTTGAAAACATTCCAAGATGGAAACCAGGTTTAACTTCACTTAATATGAATGTGTCAGTATCACAGTCCCAAACCAGCTGATAAGAAGCTGCTGTATGAAAGCCAGAAATCCTTCAAGTTGATGACAAAGGTGTGTGTGTGTGTGTGTGTGTGGGGGGGGGGGTTGTGTATGTGGTGGTGATGTTCAAAGTGCATTTTGTAGACCTCCTGACAAACTAATCAAATACTTCTTGTACATCTTGAGGAAGTGACAGGATACAATGATACTCTTAGCTGGAGTCTAGCTTGCACTCAGCCTAGGCGCCAAGTGTCTCTTTCCATTTCCAGAGGAGGGGACGGTAGAAACACATCAAGCAAAGGGGATGAAATGTGGGGAAATCTATGCTCGATTACAAACTTGGACATCCACGCTAGCTGGCTAACACAACCCTAAGACGTCGTCCACGAAAAGCGCCCTTGTAACCCTGTAAAGATTCTGCAATGTCCAGCGCTAGCGGGACAGCACATCTGGCTCCACACCTGCAAGCGGAGGGCTGCAGGCCCTGTCAGTGTCAATCTTCTGAACGGTGTCCCCTTGTTGACCTAGCAGGTACCCCTTTCCTGCTCTCACACCCTATTATCCCGAGTCATTTTATGGTAAGGTGGCCAGATCGTGCCGCTTTTGGGACGCCGCGGGAAAAAATGGTTGGAAATCGGAACTGTCCCGCCAAAAGCGGGACGATCTGGTCCCCTTGTTTCATGGTCGAAAACGAAAGTCCGACCCCCCTTTTGCCCGCCTCCTCACCTTCCTTCCTCTCCCAGCGGTCCACCGAGAAGCCGGCGCCGCCGTCCACCTGCGCCAGCGCCCGGCACACCTGCGCCTGCGTCTCCAGGATCAGCAGCTCCATCTGGGTCTTCATGTCGCCCGGCCGCCCGCGCAGCTCGCGCAGGTCGGTCACCGGCGGCGCCATGAAGCCGCGGCAGCGGCGGGCCAGCTCGTCCTCCTCCTCCCGCTCCTTCTCCCCCGGCCGCCCCGGCGGCGAGGCGCTCCTGGGCACCATGTCCGCCCGCGCCACGTGCCCCCAGGCGGCGGCGGCCAGCCCCGCCAGCCCCGCCAGCGCCGCGGCCAGCCCGGCCCCCCGGCGCCCGGGGCCGCCGCCCGCCGCCGCCGCGCCGAGCCCCAGCCCGCGGCTCCGCTCCGCGCCCGCGGCGCCCGGGGGCCGGCACAGGCGCCGGGAGCCGGCCCCGAGCCCCGCGCCGCCGCCGCGCGCCCCGCGCCAGCAGGGCCCAGCGCCCAGCCGCGCCAGGCGGAAGGCCATGCTCCCGCGCTCTCCACCGGGAGCGCCGGCGTCCCGAGCCGACCGACCGGACCCACCGGGAGGAGACCGGGAACTCGGGGCAAAGAAAAGCCACTACCCGGCTTGGCTCCCCGGCTGCGGGTGCGCCGCGAGGGATCCTGGGAGTTGTAGTCCAGGCTCCTGGCCGCCTGCAAGGGTGAGGCCAGGAGATAAAGGATGGACCTTCCCCAGAAGGGAGTGGAGGGGGTGGGGAGAGCTGGGTGCCAGAGCTCTGGTAACGGAGGAAGAGGGTGGGGTGGGATGGAGTGGGGTGGGGGGGGAGCTAGGAGCTCTTCCCCGAAAGGGATGACAAGACGGTGGCTCAAAGGACACCTGACTGAAAGCAGGGTTCCAGAACCAGGCTGCAAAGCCTTGGCTTCCACCCACGCTCTGCCCCTTTCCAGCGGGGTGCCAGAGCTCTGGTAACGGAGGAAGAGCACAGGGGGAGCGTAGGCAGAGCTGAAAGAGGCGTTCTTGTAAATTAGGGACAGCCCTAGTATGCTGTGAACATACTTCAACCAGAGGGAGAAGAGGAATTGGGCTAGAGACACCAGAAGTGACTCAGGCAAAAATAAGGCCAGAGACCCTCTCTCCCTGAACTACCCCTGACCTATATTTCCAAACAGGGTTGCAAATCCTAGCTCTATAATCTATACAAGACCCCTTCCTGGCTGGTTCTAGACCCGAAGGCTCGGTGGAACCTGGGTAACTCCTTGCCTAAGGGCACGTTTCTAAAGAAAGTGAGGAAAAGCTAGTGAAAGGCTTCCAGGAAATATAAAACACTTACTGGGAACACTTAATATCACAGTCCTGTGGCAGGCAGGCAGATAGACAGGAACAGAGCAAGAAGGATTGACCAGTTATAGAAGGACACCAGGAAAGCCCAGGTGCCTGGCAAAGGACAATTGTAGGGTGGGACCTCGCTCCTTCAGGGTGACCTTTCCTCCCCTTGCATATTGCTGGTCATGGGTATTGGATCCCCGTCTTCCTTCCCCTGTTCCCCCCCTCCCCGCCACGAGCCCCCTTTCCCCCCTCCGCTCCCCCCCCCCGCGTTCCCCCTCCCCCCCTCACACACACAGAACTTCTTTCCTCCCTAGCGATAACTGCACACCCAGAAAAGCAGCTAAACCAGACAAGTGACAACCTATGACTGACCTCAGGACCAGTTGCATTGGAGAATGACCTCTGTGCTGGCTCAGACCAGTCATTCAGGCTTGGTCTGAAAAGGCCTGGAAAGCTGTTAACTGTTCTATTGAGATCTTCCCCTGGGACCACCCCTAAAAATAACTATTCTTAGGCTGGAGACCCAGCTGGCTCTCCCAGAGCATGCCCATGTCTCCCCTCACTTTTCCCCCTCCACGCCCACCCAGGCATCTCACCTTTTCCTTTCTCCCTTCTAAGCTCTAAGGGCCCTTCCTTTGCCACTATACTATATATTAACTATGCCCAATTCTTCTACCAATTACTTCTTCTTCTTCTACTTCTGTGATTTTCTAAATAAAGTTTCTCTTATATTTTGAGTCTTGGCTCTGAATTTATTTTCCTTGCCAGAACTCAAATGCCAAGAAGGTCAGGTCTGACCCCATGGGGTCTAATACCAGGTGGCTTTCCTCACATGGCCAATAATTCTATCATTAAAGTGTTTCCAGTCCTTGCTCCTACAGTGCCCACTTGATTATTTTAGAGACAGGAAAAGCAACCTGACTGTTTTACTAGACCTGCATAAAATTCATGACCTGGTGTGTTTGGGTGATCAAGGACTAGGCGGTTTAAAACATTTTTTTTCATCATCCAAGAGTTGTAGGATGCTGCCAACTATTTCTCAGGTTTAGTATTTCCAACAACTCCTGTAAACTAAGCAGGACATACACACACATTCCCTCAACCTTCCACCCCCAAACACACCCATACACACACTTTCAAAAATGAGAAAAGCAGCTAACATAGATATGACAGATCTTTTTCCTCTTGTAACCATATCACAGTTCCATGTTGTCTGGACATAGAAGTGTAAGAATGATTGTCGTGGGCTAATTTGTCCCTTATGTCCCCAGGATGATTTAAATTTCTAGTAGCAGATAATTTAAGTCTCTGGTGGTGGCTTCTACAGGTTGTTCTTAGTGGCTAGATGCAGTGATGGAACTCCCATGGCTATGCTCAGACCCATGGTTCAAGGCGGCATAGTTTACCCACCTACAGCTGCGTCAGGCAGCTCTCACATGGGGACTCGATGTAGGTGGGTGAGCACATCTGACTTTAGCAGGTAAAGGCCTGGATTGAGAAGTGGATAGACTACTTTGGGGAAGTTCTGTTTGTTTGGTTGGGGGTTTTTTTGGCCATAGTGTGGCGGCTTCCTGGAAGGCTGAGTTGCAGGGTGAGGGAAGGAAAGATAAGAACTATCGCTCTAGGGAGTGTTGTTTGCCTGCTCTAGATGACTGTGGTGAGGTTTGACTGGGTCTGGTGATAACATGCATCTCATCACGAAGAAACCTCTCTGGCACATAGAAAAAACCTTTTTAAAAATTGATTTTAGAGAGAGAGAAGAAGAAGGGAGAGAGGGAAAGAGGGAAACAAAGATTTGCTGTTCCACTTATTTATGCATTCATTGGTTGCTTCTTGCATGTGCCCTGACAAGGGATGGAACCTGCAACCTTGTTGTGTTGGTATGATGCTCTAATCAGTGGCCGGTAAACTGCAGCTCGCAAGCCGTGGTTTGCCGCTCTGTTGACTGAGTTTGCCAACCACTGCTCTAACCAACTGGGTTACCCCGCCAGGCGATCTGTGGCTCATTTTAAAGAACCCCCTTTTTTTATTGCTCTGATTCTGAGACTACCCAGAAAGGCACTAAAAGGTAAGCAGGCACAGGCCCTGCTGAATGCTTGTTCAGTCAGACAGGCTCACCTTGAGCCAGTTGGGTACTAGTTTCCAGGTTTCCATCCCTCCGCCCCCATCCTTAGCCTCTAGGCAAAGAGCCTCTCTCATTTCCTCCCCTGACTTCCAGCACTCTCCCTACCTTTACCTTATAGTGTTATTCTTAAGAAATAGATGAGTAGCCTGGATAGTGTGAATTTAAATCACACTTTGTGGGAGTTCAAGTTGCCCACAAAAAGAATACTTGTACTTAAGCCTGATTTGTCGGTAGAGAGTAAAATGCACCCCCTTTCATTCCAGTGATTTCAAGCATAAGAAATCTAGCAGGGATCAATAAAAAGTTTGCAGTAAGTTGTAAAACTTAAGTGGCGAGGTAGGGGTTCTCATCGTTTTTGAACCCAGTTTCCTACACTGCTTGATGTTCCATGTGACTCTGACAGCCAGAAGGAATCTGACTAGCCTTATACAAACTCAGGAGATGTAGGTTTATTAAGTATCATTTTTTAAACCACACAAGCTTCTCAGAATCCTTATGAACTCCACCCTCCTCTGTTCTCCAAAGCTCTGTTGAACATAACAAGCTCTGTTGGGGTCTGCCCTTCGGTAAAGGAATCTGCCCTTTTCCAGAGAGAATTGAGAAGGACTCTGGCATCCCTCTGACAGACAGTTACTGCCTTCTAAACACACTTACACTCATACTTCCCACTGCCTTTACTAAATTGTACTATTTTCACCAATTCTTAAATTTTGAAAATAAAATTTAAGAAAAAAATTAAGAAATATATTACTACAGGGACTTTATGTTGGCTAGATACAGAAACTCAGGCTAATTATGAACAAAGTATTAGCAATCACATCTGTTTGCCTTTGCTTACTTCTGCTAATTTGTCAGAATTCTAATGAGGCGGTGATGGGGAGGTGGTAATGAGATTAGCAAAAGTGGATTTTGTGTGTGTGTGTGTGTGTGTGTGTGTGTGTGTGTGTGTGTGTTTGCTAGAATTTTTATTTTAAACTTTTGGGCCTTTAGATTCACATATTTACATAGATCATTAAAATTTGGGGGTTTTAAAGCTAAATACATTAAATATCCAATTCAATTTGGTGTTGCAAACTTGGTTTTCATTAACTGAAGCAAATTTTGATCCTATAAAATGATACTTTGTAATATGATTAAGTAAACAGATACAGGAGATCCTTGGACTTAAATTTTTCATTTTATTTTTGTTTTTTGGGGGAATTTAAATGACATGCAATTCTGCTAAGTATGGATTTTCTCTCTCTCTCTCTTTTTTTTTTTAAAAAAACTGGAGAATGCCACTTTACCTAATAATAGATAGTATGGACTTCATATATATATATATATATATATATATATATATATATATATATATATATCCGTCCACTATTAGTGTCTTAAAAAACAACTTTAAAAGTCAGCAGCAGCTTCTGTAAGTAAAAAAATACACATTATTACCTAACAGGTGATCATAAAATCTGTCAATGTATAATATACAATTCAAAGCATGTTAGATAAAGCATCAGTCACATTTATTGTAGGTAACAGAGTATAATAAAATGATATGTTCCTCACATCATGCAACATAGAACTTTACAGCAACATTAACAAACCACTCACATTACGTATTACAGGAGCATGTAAGGGGAAACAGAGCATAGAAATGATTATTTAAGAACCTCAACATCTATTTTCATCTATGTTTCAAATTGGATGGTGATTTTCTAAATCTACTCATTTATTAGGGCGGGGTGGGAGGGTAGAACTATTATTTTGTTAAGTAGAGAAGGAATGTCTTCTAGAAAGGCACTGCAAGCAGGAACGCTTCATTCACAACTTGAAATTGAGGAACCTTTATTGTCCTAATGGTATGGGAAATCCCTGTTGTCCTCCTACGCAACAAAAGATGCATATGGACACTCAGGAGTCTAACCATAGAAGTGGTTGGTTATAAGTTGACATCTACTTCACATCTGTGACTGAGATGGCCAATGCTATGAAGAAGTTCTTTGGACCCAGATTTCTAAAAGCTGATTATATAAAGCTTAGGACAAAGAGGTCCATGTACCCTAGATGTAGGGAGCACCATTAGCGAATACTGAAAACACTTCTTATATCTTACAGTAAGTATTACTTTCCCCCTTATAACTGAAAAATGCAACATTTACTTATTTTATTTTTAAAAATATATTTTTATTGATTTCAAAGAGGTAGTGAGAGGGAGAGAGATAGAAACATCAATGATGAGGAAAAATCATTAATTGGCTGCCTCTTGCACATCCCCTACTGGGAACCAAGCCCACAACCTGGGCATGTGCCTTGAATGGAATCAAACACAGGGCCCTTCAGTCTGCAGGCCAACACTCTATCCACTGAGCCAAATCAGCCAGGGCAAAAAGAAATGCAACATTTAGAACAACAGGGAAAAAACATCCTATCTAATAAAAGAGAAATATGCAGATAACTATCACTCTACTATGCCCAACAGCCAATCAGAGTGAGTATGCAAATTAACGTGAAAAGATGGTGACAGCCCTGCCCCCAGCTGCTCCAGGCCTGACCAGAATCAAACCTGGGACCTTTCAGTTTGCAGGCTGACACTCTATCCACTGAGCCAAACCATTTAGGGTTATTCAGGTATTTTTTTTTATTCCATATAAAAGTTGAAGTATTTGTTCTAGACCTGTGAAATATACTGTTGTTATTTTAATAGCGATTTAATTGAATCTGTAGATCGCCTTAGGTAGTATGGATATTTTAATGATGTTAATTCTACCAGTCTATGAATATGGCATATTCTTCCATTTGTTTATATCTTTTTCTATGTCACTTTTCAATATCCTGTAGTTTTCTGAGAATAGGTCTTTTATCTTCTTGGTTAAGTTTATCTTAAGTATCTTAAATTTTTTTTGCGATGGTAAATGAGATTGTTTAGTTTCTCTTTCTGAATAATTCATTATTAGTGTATAAAAAAATCCATCAATTTTTGGGTGTTGATTTTGTATCTTGCTACATTGCCAAATTCATTTATTAAATCTAGTAGCTTTTTTTGGTGGAGTATTTAGGGTTTTCTGTGTACAATATCATGTCATCTGCAAAAATTAAAGTTTTACTTCCTCCTTTCCAATTTGGATGCTTTATTTTTTCTTCTTGTCTGATCACTGTGGTTAGGGCTTCCAGTGCTATGTTGAATAAGAGTGGTGAAAGCAGACATTCCTGTGTGTTTCCTGTTCTTAGAGGAAATGGTTTTAGCTTTAGATCATTAAATATGATGTTCACTGTAGGTTTGTCATATATGCCTTTTATCATGGTGAAATATGCTCCCTCAATTCCCACTTTGCCAAGATTTTTTTTATTAAAAACTAGAAGCCCACTGCACAAATTCATGCACAGTGGGGTCCCTCAGCCTGACCTGTGGGATAGGGCCAAAACCAGCTCTCCGATATTCTCTGAAGAGTCCCGGATTGTGAAAGGGAACAGACCCACATGCATGAACTAGCCGAGGGGGGATGTGGGAGGTTGGCCAGATGAAGAGGGACTGCAGGAGGGCTCCAGGGCATGTCCAGCCTATCTTGCTTAGTCCTGATTGGCCGTACCGCAGCAGCAAGCTAGCCTACTGCACCCTGGTGGCCAGTGCACATCATAGTGAGCAGTTGAGTGGCCTTAACATATTATGCTTTGATTGGTTGAATGAATGACCAGATGACTGGACACTAACATATTAGACTTTTATTATATAGGATGGGTGTTGGATTTTGTTGAATTCTTTTTCTGCATTTATTGATTTGATCATGTGATTTTTGTCTTTCAATTTGTTTATGTGATGTATAATGTTTATTGATTTGCAAATATTCTACCTGCCATGCTTCCCTGAAATAAATCCCACTTAGTCATGGTATAAGATCTTTATCCAACTTAGTCATGGTATATTATGCTGGATCTGACTTGTTAATAGTTTGTTGAGGATTTTAGCACCTATGTCATCAGGGATTTTAGCCTATAATTCTCTTTCTTTATAGTATCTTTATCCAGTTTTGGAATTAGGATAATGCTGGCCTCTTAAAAAGAGTTTGGAAGTGTTCCTTCCTCTTTTTTTTTTTTTTTTTGGAACAGTTTGAGGAGTATAGGTGTTAGTTCTTCCTTGAAAGTTTGGTAAAACTCCACTGTGAAGCCATCCAGACTTGATTTTGTTTGATTACTGCTTTTATTCCATCTGTTATTATTAGTCTATTCAGGTTTTCTGATTCTTTCTAATTCAGTTTTGGGAGATTGTATTTTTCTAGAAATTTATCTACTTCATCCACATTGTCCAGCTTGTTGGAATATAGTTTTTCATAGTATTTTTTTCTTTTTTTTTTTTTTTCTTTTTCACAAATTAAAGTACTTTACTGTATTTGGCATTCCTACACATGATGTGGATTCAAAGACTGAAAACATTAAGGGAATATAATTAAAATTCATAGGCTTAGCCATAAAAATAATTTTAATATTAGAGTTATCTATAACAAATATTTAAATAAAATAAATCAGAATATAAGCACAATAAAATGTAATTTTAGCTTTCTCCTCTGCTTAAGTGGAACATAGAAAGTTGTTCCAAAATGCTTTTATATACTTGACATGGCCTCAAACTCATGTAATCAAACATGAAAAGTGAGACCGATAGAACTGTGGACACTATACATCAGGAACAAAACTCATAAATCTCTGTATTCCTAATGATTTCTAAAACTTATTTTCCCACTTTCAAGGACAAGTTTACTCAAAAAGAGAAGAATAAAGGGGTCAGCTACACAACACTTACATCCTTTATTGATAGGATGTAGCCATTATGCCCAGATTCAGCCATCAATTACAACTTCATTTCCCATCCACAATTAATGAGAATATATTTTACTTCAAATGGGACATATAGGCAGAGTGCCAAAAGTTAAAGTATAACCTTAAAGTCTTAAATTCACACTTCAAATATCAAAAGAAGCAATTGCCCAAATCATGAAAACATGATGAAATAACTACACATAAAAAAAACCACATTTAAGTCATTTCACTTTTTCTTGTATATAGTGAAAACAAATGTATTTATAACTTCAGACTTCAGAAAGCATACTTCATAAAGTCATTATTCATTTAAAGTAGACAAATGTTTACAGAGAACATTTAACTTAAATTTCATAGTTGCTTATAAAATAGTACTTGAAAGGTTGACCTATATAAGGAAACAAGAGTCCTGTCAAGAGAGATGGTAAACTATAAATATAAAATATACCACAATGTTAAAAACCTCACAGTATGCTATAGGAAAATCAATAAAGATAACTTCATCTTTCTGGGGGGAAATGTATTTAGCATTACAAATTCAAATGTAAATTTTATATATGAATTCAATAAGGAATACATTAAAACTTTGCATTGCCACATAATCACCATCTATTTTGTGTTACACAATAAAAATGATGTACTTTTTGAACGTGTGTACATCAAAACCAGAAGGTTACTTTTTGCTTTTCCCTTTACTGGCAACTTTGGACACATTTTTAGGTTTTGGTTCCCAGAGGGCATTTTTCACGCTGCACCTTTGTCCAGCTTGGCAGCCTTCTTCTTGTCAGTTATTTCCCTGACTCTGTTCATGTATATTCTGATTCTTTCCAATTCCTGCTTTACTGGGTGTTCCTTAGGATTAACTCCCTGAGTTGACAAATAAACCCAAAACATTGAATTTAATGTGTAAGCAGAAACTAAATCCACTTTTGCTTGTTCAAGCGGGTCCAACTTCTGCAACAACTCATTTCTAGAAACAGACATCATAGTCTTCAGCATGTCATCTACGGCACAATGGAATTCTCAAATGCTGATAAATACTCATGGATTTCTGCTGGATAGTCTTCATTAATCTCTTCTTCTGCCATTCTGACCTTGCTGGCCTGCCACTCCGTCTTCCGGAAAGCGGTCGGGCCCATAGTATTTTCTTATAATCCTTTGCATCTCTGTGGTGTCAATAGTTACTTCTCTACTTTTATTTCTGATTTTGTATTTTTGGGTCCTCAGAGAAATAGAAATATTGATGTAAGAGAGACACATCATTAGTTGCCTCCTGTTCTCACTCTAACTGGGGATCAAACCTGCAACTGAGGTATGTGCCCTTTACCTGAATCAAACGTGGAACCCCTCGGATCAAGGTCCAATGCTCTAACCACTGAGAAAACTGGCTAGGGCATGAGCATTATTTTGCTAGGGACATTCACTGATTTTGTTACAGAGAGCCTTGAAAAACAAAGACTATTTTTTTTTAAAAAGAAGATACTCTCACAATACTCTATGCAACCAGGCTATAATTTTGGCTTCTGACCCTCAACTAGAGTGGTAATGGAATGGCAAGAACCAAAAGCACAAGCTGGAGAATAGAGAAAGAGGAGGCTGCTCTTTGTATGTTCTCCAAAGAGTTTGTGCTTTATTCAGAAGTCAGTGGAACTCCGTGGAAGGCAGTGAGGCAGAAGATGGCATGTTCACATTTACATGTTTGAGATAGATCACTCTGTAGGCAGGGGATGGAATATGAAGGGTGAGGCAGGAAGCAGATGGATAGGGGAGCTCAGGTAATACAATGTCGCTCTTTTACCATCTTAAGGAACTATCTCTAGAAAGCATTAAAATTATTCACATTAGTGATTCTAATACTAACAATTTGAACCTTTAACATTCTTTCTTCTTAGGAGCTCAAAACAGAATCTAGTTTGTAATAAAACACTCTGCCACCACCCCATCCATCCTGGTTTATACATAGCACATAATATCCAGTATACAGCAGGAATACTCACTAGGTTTTGAGGCATCAGGTCCTGCATGGAGGACCCTGTGAGCTATGCAGTCACCAAAAGCTGAGAAGATACACATTCTACTTCTCTGGTGATCATCCTCTAGATATTGGGGTAGATTTTGAGGAACCATGGCAACACTGAGTGTTTGACCTAAGAGGCATTATAGATGTCAGTTCTGTTCTATCAAGTCCTCAGCCAGAGGGGAGGAGCTGCCGCCACAGGAGTGGGGGAGTCAGGGAGGGAGAGCTAAGTTGGGCTCTGACTAGTATTAACCAGCACTGCTCTGCTCCATCAAATTATCAGGGTCAATAGTGCTAGGGAAAGTTGTTACATGAGTTGTTGTTTTTTTTTTTCTTCTAGTACCTGAGGAGTGACTCTGAATGATTTCATGAGAAAGGAATTTATCCCCTCAAGTCCCTCTGACAGAACCAGTTCCTAGGAGTGCATGTATGTTACCCACAGATTAGTCTCCTAGAAACCTGTCTGTTTCTAAGTTTCTGAAAATGAGCAAAATGGAAAAGAGCCCTTTCCTCTGTTAGAGTAGTTAAGGTTGCAGAATCATAGTGTATTATTACCTTAGACTATTTGAGAGAGAGAACCTGATCCAATGGTCTTCAAATTTGTTGTAGCATCAGATCACTTCTAATGAAATCCTATGAAGAAATCTAATTAATATGTGAACAGAAGACAGAGCTGCCCACATTCAGGAAGTCTCTGACTGAGCAATGCCTCTGCTGTTTGTCATGCCTCCAATACCCTATCATGTGACTTAATCCTATGAACCCCTAGAATCTAGAGTAGCAAAGTCTGAAAGATATGAATTAAAACAAATATTCCATTTTCAGGTGGCAAAGATTTGCACAATAGTTAATAATTATTTGAGTAGAGTATAAATCCAATAGGAGGATTCATAGAAGTAAAATTCAAATTCATGGTAGAGAATGGAGTTGGGAAACTCCATTGATTTCTTTGGAGTTGGATCAATGAGTCAGAAAAGAACAAGACAAATTGGAATGTGTAGGGTGAGAAGAGGGTTTCGCTTAGACCAGAGATAGAGTTCAATAGAAATGGATGTAGACTTTGGAAATTTGAAGTCTCTGGCTGGGGATCTGTTCCATGTAGCAAGGTGGCTATCTGTGTTGAGAGGGCACAGGTAGCTTTGAAACACAGCACTGCATTGAGGGGGAGACCTTCAGCCCTTCCAGTATTAATCACCATTCTAGGCACAATCAAACACCCTTTAAACTAAAGGTCTTTACAAGTTAAACACACAGGGGCTTTTCAATATCTAAATACTAACTGTGCAGATCAGTAGTTTAGACAAACCATAATTTGGCAATTTCCTGATTCACAGGAGAAACTTTACCCAGTTCCAACCTTTCTTACATTTTTTTCCCGTGCTCCAAATCAACTCAAAACTTATTTGTTCTAGAAAATGTCTACTGTCCTGATTCAGTTCATTATTGTGCTTAGCAACTCTACTCTTGAGGTATCTTACTGAACTTCACCTGTAGAGTACAGATAAAAAGAACGATTTCTCAATTGTTTTCTAAATGAATAAGAGGAAATAAGATGTCAGTTGTTTAGCACAGTGCATGACACCTAGCAATTATTTTAAAACTAGGGACCTGTTGTAGGAATATTCCTGCAACACTTCCGGTGGGCTTCCCTCCCACCACCACCACCTCTCCCACCTCCCCTTCCTGAAGTGGTGGACAGGTGCGCCCCGCCTGTCCATCTGCTCCACCATGCCTGTGGCCACTGCCACAACTGTCTCTGCAGCCGCTGGCTGCCACCACCGCTGTGTGCCTTGCCCCGCATGCCCTACCTGCCGCTCCCACCGCCACTGCTGCCTCCATAACCAGGCGTGCTGCCGACACCACTGTGCACCCTGACCTGCCTCGCCTGCTGCTGCCCGCGCACTACAGCTGTGTGCCTCACCCAGCTCCTATGGCCAGAGCTTTCCTTCCAGCACTCGAAGCCACCTTGCTTTCCTCTTTCCCTCCCTCTTCCTTCTATGCTGTCTTCAGTCTTCACTCCTCCCTCCCTCTGGGTATGCAAATTAATTACCATCTTTGTTGGATTAATTTGCATACTCACTCTGAGTGGCTGGTGGGCGTGGTTTGTGGGTGTAGCAGAGTGATGGTTAATTTGCATATTACTCTATTATTAGGTAGTACTATTAGCTTCTCTTCTGTTATGGCTCTCTGATAGATCATGGTAAATTCATAGGAATTTGAAAAATGTTAAAATTCTTTTTTTTGTGTGTGTAGAATTCTAATTTCTGGGTTCTATTATATTTTATTTCTACCTCCCCCCTACCTTTCTTTTTATTATTAAATTAGTATGATAGACTTTCATTAATATGATAGTTAACTCAAAGAATAAAAATGGAGAATAAATAGATATCCATATTTTTCAATACCATAGTTTGCTTTTAAGACGACTTTTGAAACAAAAAAAGGTCAACTGAAAATTGGGGGCAAAAGACCAAAATTGCACAAAAATTTACCTGCAGATCTTGATGGCAAAGTAAGTCTTTTCTTTGAAGTGGGGGGTAGTCTTATACAGCGAATATAGGCCTAAACCTATGTTTTTAACTGTAAAATTAGGGGGTCATCTTATATGCCGGAAAATACAGTAGTTATGAGATTTTTAGAATTACTTTCCCTAAACAGCCTTTAAAGGTCTTTACAAGTTAAATATTCAGGGACTTTTCAACCCGCATTCCTTATTTATCTAGATGGTTACAGAGCATTTTTTGTGTTTTTAGATAATAAATTTTATAGCATTGGCAAAGGGTAAATATATCTGCGGATAAACATATGGTCAATAGAGACCAGCTGAAATCAATCTATTTTCACATTCAATATCCAGCTTTGCATTCCTAACAGTCCAGGGATGCTGACCAAAAAATATACTATTTAGAAGTTCTCTGTGTCTATTGGTGGTGGTAGTGATAGTGGTAGTGGTGATGAGATGATGATGATGATGATGATGAAGAAGAATGTGTTTAAAGGCAATGTAGAAAAGTCTATGTAATGACCTGCTCTCATTTTAAGAAAAATGATTATAGTATAATTGCATATAATTAAGACACTAAAGTCTCTTTTAAGAAATCACACTTGTCATTTGGTTAGAAAATGGCCAGATTGTTTTTTGTGGGTGAGGGGAATATTAAAAAGTATTATTTCTATTTTTTCATTGAAGCATGCATTTAAATTAAGGCCCACAAATTAATATTTGTCCATTGGTGTAATAGAAGTGGCCATTATTGAAGTGAGATACAAGTTTTTGGCACTTGTGATTGTGATTATGTCTTCAGAGAAATGATGCAGTCTAAAAAACTGATGTATTCTTTTTTTAATTTCTTTTTGGCTTTTAAAGTAACATTTATTTTTTAAAAGTTAACTTGTGAATATATAGGAAACTGAAAAGCACAAGCAAAGAACAAAGTCATCCATAATCACTAGCAGTTTATAGTCTGACGTGTCCTTCTAAGTCCTGTGATCTACATAACTAAGCTTCTATTTTTATGTAATTAAGATGGTACAGTTATATATCATGCTTTCTCACACATCATGAATGCTTACCATTTCAAAGTCTCAAAGCTAGGAGTATTTTTTAAAATCTTTTTCTAAAGATTTAAAAAATTGATTTCAGAGAGGAAGTAAGAGGGAAGAGAGATAGAAACATCAATGATGAGAGAGAATTATGGATTGGCTGCTTCCTGCACGCCCCCTACTGGAGACTGAGCCTGCAACCTGGGCATGTGTCTTGACTGGGAATTGATCTATGGCTTCCTGGTTCATAGATCAACACTCAGCCACTGAGCCACGACGCTAAGCAAAGCTATGAGTATTTTGATAACCTA